CCCCAATGATTTTTTTTTTAAGTAAAAAGGCATTCTCTTTTATGGAGTTTGAACAGATCTTTCAAGACGAGGTACTTTAGCACACATACATACACCCAACTCACCGCAGCATGGGAATCTGCCTTTTACCACGATCTCTCAGATAACTCTGACATTCAAATCGGAGCAGCACTGCTCTACAAGACTATTGGAGGGCATGCGTCCCGCCTCAGAGAGTTTAGAATCTAAGCGACAATTTCAGTAATGTGAAAAGAGCCCTGGCGGTGCAGTGGTCAAGCGCTCGGCGGATAACCAGTCAGTGACTGGAACCCAGCCGTCCACTCTCTGGGAGAGAAAGAGGGGACAGCCTGCGTACAGCAAGACGTTACAGCCTTGGAAACCCTGTGGGCAGGCCCACTCTGTCCTCTAGGGCAGCTCAGAGTTGGAGTGGACTTGATGACACAAAGCACTGGGCCTTAGTACTTTGAACATCTTCCTGGCATCTGTGCTCCGTGGGGTTATTATTCTCTTCTGAAGGTCCCCCTCCCGCTGGGCAAAGGACCCTCCTTCTCGGCCCGGCCTAGGCCCTGGCCCGCGTTACTGAACTGCGGGCAGACCGAGTGACCTCCACACAAACCTACCTCCCTGAGGTCCGCCACATCCCCTCCTTCGGCCCGCATTACTGGAGACAGCCTGTGGCCGGGTCCCTGCCCGCCAAGACAGGGCGGTGCATTTCCCCAGCCCCTCACCTCAGCAAACTCCAGAGGAACCCGTCTCAAGTTAGACCTGCGGAGAGAAACAATACATGCACACCGGGATGCTTTGGGTTTAAGGACACGAGACCGCCAACACTGGATGGTTTTGACCTACGACATCGGCAGTTCCCAGATTCAGATGAATGTTCCCATTGACCGTTTCTCCATCTCACTGTTTTAGGGACCCTAGGGCACCATGCGCTAGCTAAGACCACGTTGCCAATACCCGTGACAACGTAATGCTGACAACTGAGTATCAACTACACAATCCTCTCCCCGTTCAGCCCCCACCCCCTCAACTACGCAGTTCAAATCTCGACGCCTGCCTTCTTCCAGACCCCACTCTTCCTAGCTCCCAGAGGGCTCCTCGCGTCTTCTTGATAAAGTCCACCACCATAGGGAGCCAGGGGACCAACATTCGGCTGAAGAACAGTGGCCACCAGCTGGTGGAGCCTACTCACGAAAGCAACCCCTCACAACGCCAAGCGGAAGTCCCAAGCCCCCGCCTTCCACAACGCAAACCTCCTGCCCAAACCTAAGATGGCGCAAGGGTGGAGTCTGCCCTCTTGTGGGCGGGGCCGCGGCGACGCAACGTGGCCGGGAGGCGGTTCCAGCGGCGAGGGCGGTGCTGGCGCCGCCCCCCAGCGCCTCCTTGCCAGCTTGGCCCTGGGGCTCTGGCGGTCGGGCCGGACCTCTCCTTCCGGCGGGCTGGGGGGACACACCTGCTCTCCGGAGGCGCCATGAGATCCCCGGTCCACAGCCTGCCCCGTCACGACGGCGATGAGGGCACGGACAGCACGCCCCTTTTGCCAGGCTCCCCGCGGGCCGAAGCCGGTGAGCAGCGGCCGTCGGGGGGCTTCGGGGGTGGCAGGGACCAGAGCACAGCGCCCTCTGCCGGTGGGGCCGACGCAGCTTCGGGGTGAGCGGCCCCGAGGACGGGAAGCCCTTGGGGCCCCGCCGAGACCGGATCCCGGGCCCCGGCGGGCTGACGAATGGGGGGCGCCGATGCAGCCCCACGAGGCCGGAGCCGGGAGGGGCAGGGCGCCGGCTGCACTGGGCTCCTGGTGGCTTTCTGTGGTGTGGCGCGGGAGACCCAGCTCACAAACCGGGAAGGAAACCTCACCTCCATGGATGGGCACAGGGCCGGGCGGAGTCTGGGGCGCTTCCCTGGCGGGGCCAGGTTTCCGTGGCTGCAAATGGACAGGCATGTGATCTGGTAGCTTCTTGAGTGGAGTGTGCAATAAAAAAAGGACGAGAGTTAGCATTTATGAGTATCCGGAGGGTAATGACTGCAAAGCCCAGTGAATATCTAGAAATTATGCGGCGAGGGACTGAAACTACTCAACACATACCTTTTCTTTTTCCTTCCAGGAGTGTGCAATTTGAGTTAGTAAACAGTTCCGTTATCTCCAAGATAGGCTATCTATAGAACATTAGAGTAATTTGCCAAAGGTCTTGGCAACAAATAAACGAAATGCTACTTCACCAACTATCTTCCCAGGATTGAAGAAATTAAAATACTTTGCTATTAAACAAAAAAAAAGTTTTTAACATTTTATTTTGAGTTCAGTGAAGGTTTACAGATCATCAGTGTTCCATACAACAATTTATAGATTTTTTTTACTTCATTTTATGCAGTCCTGTTGATGCAACATCACCCACCCCACCTTGAAGGCCTTGCCTTCTCATCATTGGCCCTTGGGCCAATGCTGACCCTTTGATCTGAAGTGATTGGCTGTTCTAAGGTATGCATGGATGAGGTGTGCATAATACCTCACTGTTGTTATTGATCTTCCTAGAGGCCTGTCTGTTGTTAGGCTGAAAATTGAACCTCGAGGAATGAGTTCAGTTCTAGACCTTAAGGGTAACCGAGGGCCATAGTCTCAGGGGTTCCCCCAATCTCTGACCTATTAGTTTGGTCTATTTTATGGTTTTTAGTTTTGTTCCACCTTTTTCTCCTACTCTATCCAAGACTTTGCCCTGTGATCCCTTTCAGAGTAGCTGGTGGTATTATTAGCGGGCATCCTTGTCTGGTCCCCCATGAAAGAGAATGTGTTCAATATCTCATTAAGAGTAATGTTGTCTGTTGGTTTTATAAACTTCAAAACCAAACCCACTGTTACCAAATCGCTCTGACTCATAGATACCCTATATAGAGTTTCCAAGACTGTCAATCTTTATGGGAGCCCATAGCCTCATCTTTCTCCTGTGGAACAGCTGGTCGATTTTAACCATCAATCTTGAGGTTAGCAGTCCAATGCTTACTGGACCACACCAGCTTTAATTATGTTGAAGAATTTCTCTTCTATTCCTATTTTGTTGTGTTATCAGAAATAGATGTGGGACTTTATCAAATTCTTTTTCTGTGTTAGTTGGTATGATAATTTGGTTCTTTTTCTTTGTTTTATTTATGTGGTATATTACATTGATTATTTTTGTAAAGCT